TACAAGCAGTAACAATGTACTGTGTGAAGTCTTGGAAGAAGATTGTACACAGCAGTCTTATCAGTATCACATCAAATCACATAAGGCTATGGACCAGCAGAGAGACTGTACATGCATCTGCCATTTGTTTTGTCTTTAAGATATTTTCATTATGAAGCAAAATAAGGAAGTTTATTAGTGATAATAATCTAAATGAAATATTCCAAACTATATATAGATATTTTTCTCCTATTCAAAATCTAGAAAGCTTCATTCCATGCTTCAATATCAAACTGAAATCATTTTAATTAGGATTGCAAGATTCATCAATTTGGCTTACATTATATATTTACACATCCCCAAAACAACTGAGGTCTGTGACAGCACCTTTCATTTCCATTAATTTTGAAATACAATTGCTCTACGAGTGATTCCTCAAGGGAGAGAGAGGGACCACGTTGCTGAGAGTCTTGTGAAGATAATGAAAGACTTACTTCTTTACTACTGTCATAGCTTGTGGCTCCAGTAACTGCTTCTGCACTCCCTGCTACTTTGCTGTCAAAAAACACCTATGGAGGGTAGATGGGAAAAGAGTACTGATAACCACAAAGTATTAACAACGATAATAGCAGTTGTCTTCATTCAAGCAATGAGGACCAAACAATTCTGCACAGAAGATATTTACACTTGGTAAAGTCTCAAGAACTGCAATCGGCCATAGATGCATCAAATTAGCTTTATTTGTTTGTTTTTCTATTGGCGATTGTATAATATTAGTAAGAGAAGTCAAAGAGTTGAGTGCCTCCAAAGAAGCAGGAGAAGAGCCTTGATGTGCTTGTGGTTAGTAGATTGGTCTTCCAAGCAAATTTAGAGGCATGAAAGATATCTTAGAGGGAGGGCAGAAAAGAAGAGAGGGTAGGGGGAAAAAAAGAAGGAAGAGAAGGGGAGAGAGGAAGAGCAGAAGAGTGGAGAGGGGAGAGAGAGGGGAGAGGGGAGAGGGGAGAGGGGAGAGGAGAGAGGAGAGAGGAGAGAGAGAGAGAGAGGAGAGAGAGAGAGGAGAGAGAGAGAGAGAGAGAGAGAGAGAGAGAGAGAGAGAGAGAGAGAGAGAGAGAGAGAGAGAGAGAGAGAGAGAGAGAGAGAGAGAGAGAGAGAGAGAGAGAGAGAGAGAGAGAGAGTGTGTGTGAGTGTGAGTGTGTGTGTGTGTAGAGGAGAGGGGGGGAAGGGAGGGAGGAGGGAGGAGGAGGGAGGGGGGGGAGGGAGGGAAGGAGGGAGGAGGGAGGAGAGGGAGAGGGAGAGGGGAGGAAGAGGGAGGGAGGAGAGGAGGGAAGGGAGGGAGGAGGGAGGAGAGGGAAGGAGGGAGGGAAGAGGAGGAAGAGAGAGGCAGATGGATAAACAGATATATAGATAGAGAGATAATGAATTACCTCATCTGATAGTGACTCCATCGTATAGTGATCCACAGGGGGAGTGGGTCGCAAGGTGGGTGCTGTGGTGGTGGTAGTGGTTGCAGTTGTGGTTGGGGATACATCCGGCTCGTCGAACACATCGTCTGGAACCGACATGGATGATGGAGCATAACTGCGACTCTTGGACCTTCCACCCGCTGTCCCCGAGATCTGACTCTTCGCTCTTCGTTTCGCTAGCGTCTGTGGAAGTAGAGGTATGCAAGAGAAACGGATGGAAAAGAAAAAAAATCTAACTAATAATGGGTAAGAAGGAAAAGTGATAAATGAAACAAACAAAAGACATTTCTACATTCTTAACTTTCATGAACTGATCCGATGTCAAAAGTAAATCAATTTAATCAATGAGTTACAGAGGTAAGCCTGGCTGGTACTTATAATGCCATTATGACTTCATGATAAGTCTTATCTAAGCCTGAATCTTAACTAGGAATAATCTATAAAAGTATACTTTTTCTTTCAAATCATTTTAGGCAAATAGAATAATAATTAGTTACATTGACAACAACTAATCCACATGACATGAATAAGAGTATATGACTGTACAGAAATATATTGGCTTTATGTAAAATTATTTCAATGCAACATTTTATGTAAGAAAACAAGCATTACTGTAGGAATATTAACCATACACTGTACTCTAGATTATACCAAGAACAACATAATATATTCATTGATTGTATAATATTAATGAACAAAAGGAATAAGGATTACATAAACAAAACTGATGATCAGCAACCATCTTGACTGTTATGCTTCAGTTACAAGTCCTTAACCCACTGACCACAGATGGGATGACATACATGCCATGTCCTCTGTAATTTTAGCCTGTCAATTGTGTTTATACCAATAGTGTTGCATCACCAAGGAGTCAAGTATTAGGCTTTTCTATTTCACTTCTTCACCATGTTCCTCAATTTTTGGAGTGATCGTTTTTTATGATTTCATAATCTTTATTATCATTAGTATCCTAACAATATAATAATAAGCCATAATAGTAATAACAATAAAAACAGTATTGATATTAACAGCTTTATATAAAAAAAAATGTCCTGCAAGTTTAAGGAACAGAGCTATCAAGCATAATCACTTGGGCCTACTAATCAACTCCTTGGCGGCTGAGCATTTGTGGAGCTATCTGTGTGCAACAAAATTCACTAAAAACTACATTGGCCAGTACATACATAAGGGTTTATGATGAAGACTTACGGAATTAGGATGAATGTCCATCATTTACTATGCCTAGGACAACATAAAGAGTTTGGACTGTTTATAAGTACCAGCCTAAAAGCCTCATAATCAGCTCCTTCGATCCAGATGATGTGACCATTACTTCATGAAAAAATTTGGCTCGAGGGGCTATGACATGAACGTGCTGTCATGGGAAAAACTAACTGTGGGTCAGGTGCGTTTCGGCTGAAGGCCAAGGTGACAGAAAAGACTTGCTACGAGTGCACAAACCTTTTGGAGGATGATTAGACACATTTGGTGCTTAGAAAAGGGCTCCTGCGTTATTCTCATTGATAAACAAGTGTAGAATGTAGTGTCCATGAGCCATGACTGGAAGACTGATGGCTCCTTGGAGGATGCCATTTCCATGCTCAGCATCTTATTCCTGGCTGTCGTGACTGGCAGCACAGGTTGTATTACAGAAAATTGAATATTACGGAAAAAAAAAAATACATAAATAACAAAATGTCACTTTTTTCACTGAGTTATGAATCACCTAGCAGGATGATATGGTAACTGTGCAAGGAAAACAGTCTATTACCATCTGGATAAAGCAAATCAAATGACAAAAATGGACATTGGAAAATGCCCCCCACTCCTCCCCCCCAAAAAAAGGTTTATACATAAACAGAGAAAATAACTTTGTAAAAGGGAGGCATAACAACACCACACACGTGTTTGTGTACGCCAGGCCTGCATACTGCACACCTGCCAGAGCAGCCACTCACATAAGCCTAATGCCCATATTTTGGTCCAAGTGATTGCCATAAAGCAACCAGATCCAAAGGGTTAAGTTGACTGTGTGTATAAAATAGGACACAAAAATTATAAGACAAAACATGTTCAGGGGACTGAGCAATTGTAAGACCATTTGTTATCCCCTCTCTGATAAGTTAACCTGTTGGATCTAGGTGCCGTACAGTCACATGCAGATCAAAATCTGGGCATTAGACTTACTTGGGCGCATGGTTTGTAGGCTGAGCCTACACTAACACTCATGTGTGCCATCGACTCCCTGCCTTCCCTTTGCAATTTTATCATGTCTTTTTCTGAATAAGCATTCCCCCTCCCCCCCATTTTCTAAGGCCTATATTTGTCACTTGTAATGCTGTATCAAGATGATAATAGATTGTGTCCCTTGATAAGACTAAATTATCTCTCTAGGCAGTCTACAACTCTGCAGTATCAATATCAATAAATATTATGTTATTTGTGTCTTTTTTTACATCTATATTCAACAGCAGGTAGAAATAGAATCCTGAGCATGGAAATGGTGTCCTCCCTGGAGCCAGAACTCTTCCAACCATGCCTTATGGATGGTAAATTCCAACCTCGTTTATCGATGAAAATAATGTAATAGTCCCTTCTTAAATACCCACAAAGTCTAATCTTCCTCCAGAGCTTTGCACAGTCTCTCCCATCATCTTGGCCTTCACACCAAATTTTTAATGACACACCCATACATACACAAACACACTTTTTATAAAAACCTACCTTTTGCATTAAAAAAATAATTTAAAAAGATGGTAAATTTATGTACATCATCTACTCAGATCATATGAGGGTACAGATGAGTGTGCATACAGGCATGATCTAAAGATAATGGTACTAAACGTGGATAGCGTCTTCGGTTATATACACTGGCCATCTGTTACTCACAGCTGCAACGAAGGAGAGGCCGTCCCAGGTCATCTTGGCGACGGAGTCCTTCCCGCGATGGGGAGGCTGGGGCCAGGTCGCTCCATCTACGGAGTCTGATAAGCCACTGGCTGCTCCCTCCTGAAGCTGAGATAAGCCAGAGAGAAATGGTTATCAGAAGGAGGCACTATGAGACACACTTCACCATTATGTCGGCATCCATTCATAAAGCAGAAGGAATGCACACACAAATCTCCCTATATATTTGTACACCAAATATGTATCATATCACACACACCTATGTGGATACAACCAGACAGCCAACTTATCATGGAAGATCCTAATAACTCTTAGTCACAGAAGGATGACATATCTTATATGTAATGGCCTACCTATATATACATATAAATCTAAACTATCTAGCTATAAAACTAGTATTAGTATTACCTCCAAAAATGGAATCTTTAATTTATACATCTTGTAAATTGTAAAAGTGTATAATTTTTCAACTATAAGAATGTACATCAAATATAATTATAGCTTCTATGCAAAACCAGCCTGCGTAACTTTGAGTACCCTTTGAATTGTGAATCTGCTGATCTTTGCATCCTGAAAATACTTTTTTGGTAAATCAAATTTTTGCATTATAATTACTCTACTCTACCTATCTTCACCTCCTCCCATTTTCTC